GAACAGGTTGCCCAGAGAGGTGGTAGATACCCCATCCCTGGCAACATTCAAGGTGGTCAGGGTGGATGGGGCTCTGAGCAACCTCATCTAGTTGAAGATGTCCCTGCCCACAGCAGGGCGGTTGGACTAGATGACCTTTAAAGGTCCCTTCCAGCCCAAACTATTCTATGATTTTAAATTAATTTCAAGAAATAACTTCTCAGGTCTCAAAAAGCAAGTGTTAAAGCAACCAAAATGAATTGTTTCTGCAAAAGAACTGATTACATAAAGGAAAGGATCATCTATACTTCGAACAAAAAAAGTAATGGTAACTATAATACGGAACTATCCTTAGCAAGCTCACACACACTCTCAAAATTAATAGCCAGATCAGTAGTTGTAAGCAATGCAATCTGATAGCACATCCTGGACTCCTGAAGGGTTTATACCTGTTTCACAGTTAAAAAATGCGCATGGAGGCAAGAAACGTGTGAAGACAACAGGGGGATTAGTTCCCTTTGGTTGTATGTTAACAGAACAAAACAGGAGAGAAAAGCTGTTATCTTCTAGCCTCTTTGTTGTGTTTATTTAAGTTCCCACATGTTACTGAAGCTCTGTGTATTACTCTGCTCCTACCCCGACTACCCTGACAGAAAATTTTAACTCTACACCTTTCTCTGCCACTTTTTTCCCCTTCCCCTCATCATGCTATCTTATCACCTTGTCAACAGATGTACTTTCAGAGACTTTCTAAATACCTTTACTAACCTAATTCAGAGCACTGCAGCTAGAAAGCCAACCCCAATGACTACTAAAAAACAGCTAGGCATGACTGTATCAGTTGCAGGCAGACACAAGCACACTCAGCTATTAAAATCCTACAGTACCACAGCTGCAGTTTAGACCTGTTCCTTGCATTTCAGAGGGAAGAGAATAAATATTTTTCTCTAGGAGAAAGTTAGCACTCCCAACAGACCTAATATTAGCTTGCTATTTTATCTATACCTCGCTAGAAAGAGAGAAGCTGAACCTAAAAGGAAAAGAAGTCTGGAAAAATAAGCTGGAAACACTATCATTTTAATTCAGAATATTAATTGTTTAGCAACATCGAACATGAGCCAGGAGCACAAAAACGTATCAGTGAGCTACTGCTTTGCTAAACTGTATGTTCCGGTTCTATCATATTACATCTGTATAGCATAGCCTCCCCAACATAGCCTCCACAACACCACCAGCAAGCACTGTAACAATCCATCAAGCCAAACACTTACGCAGTCCCACAGTGTCATGTTTGCCGTTGTCATTTCTGTTTGGTTGCACTAGTGGAGCAAATGAAACAGCAAGAATATTTTTACTTTCCCACGTGTTCTGTCCCGTTCTCAAGATTTGTGTTAGCTGCATAAAAACAAAACCAAAATACATCGGTGGTTACAGTTTTGTCATACTCAATACTATTCAGATTGGTGTTCAAACACACTGCTATTTTGATTTGCTTCAAAATTAATTTATAAAGGCTGTTTTATGAATAGAAAGGACTTTCATATTCCTTGAAATATTACTTGGTCACTAGAGTACTGAATAAGGCTCTTTGGCAATGGGAAGAGATACAGCTGGAAAATTAAGGCCCAAGGTAAGTTTTGCTTTTTCTGATTTTTCCAAAAGATCACAGAATACTTTAGCCTGGAAGCAACCTCTGGAGTCCTACCCCTTCTTGAACAAGACCAACTTCAAAGTTAAATCAGGCAACTCAGAAGCTTTTCCTATAAAGTTAAAAAAGATCTCCTAGGATTGAGATTTCCCAACCTGACTAGGCAACCTGCTGTAGTGTTCAACCACTCTCATTATGAGAAATTCTTTTCCCTATATGTAGGCAGAATGCCCTCCTTCTGCCATTTGTAACATTCTTCTTTAAGTTTGCTGTGCACGTGCAAGGAGAATTGGACTCCTGCCTACTAGGTAAATTCTCCACCCCCTTAGGAAGCCAAGTCAGGAATTACATGTTCCCTTAGCTGTTTCTTTGCAGGCTACATTAACAATCGTTCAGCTGCTCCTTATACTTTACATGGTCTAGCCCCCTAACATTTGTATATAAGGTGGAAATATTCACAGTTTTAATTTTGCTTTCAAATTGTGACTACTTTTAAGTTGGATTCATCAATTTCAACTGACAGTATCTTAGTCCAATAAATACTGAAAAAAAAATTTATGGAACTGAATCATGCAGGCTATGTTTAAATCACTTTGGTATTCTGAGAAAGCAGATATATAATGTGATTAATTCTTTTTGGAAGATAAAGTAACTAGCATGTTTATCAATAAGCATTTTAGTAATTATCTGTACTTAGGAGGACATCAACTTAAATCACATAATCTGTCTTTCTCAATTTCCCTATTAGTAAAACAGGGAGAATAATACTTACCTTAGTAAAGCCTTTTGAGATCTAAGGATGAAAGTGATAAAAGTGCGAAGTATTATTAAAATAATACACCTGTCTGAAAAACGTTTAATCTAACATGGAAAAGCAACACTGAAAACTGTTGGAAATAAGTCATATTTTTTCCTTCAGTTTTTTCCTCCCCTTACAATGTCCCACTAATCACGCTATTTCATATTTCTCTGAAATAAATTCTCTTGGTTTAGAGGGTGGTTTCTTTGTTTTGAAGTACTGACTGAAAACATCTGTGTGGCAGGGAGATTTCAAAGCAGTTCTGGGACTGGTGTAATACACTGAAAATACTATGAATAGAGTTTTAGTTTTACTGAAGACACGGTTTTGCCACAGACTTTGTTGGAAGCAGGATATTGATGCTTTCCTACAAGTTTAAGGCAAAAAAGTGCAAGACTTCATTGAAAAGACTAATATCTGCTTAACTGCAGCAATACACTGAATCAAGGTATCATTAGCTGAACATTAACTTAATCAAATACACATTTAAAAGCATTCCTTAAGTTATATATTTCTCATACTAAAAGATAAAAAGGGGAAATTGCCACTAAGTCACCTGATCTTCTATAGGCATTACTAAAATGCCTCCAACTTTCAATAAAATTTTCATGTAGTTTTCATGGTCTTTCTGGACTCCAGCTCCACAGTAAATCCGGTCATATTGATGACTGTCTGAGGCTATTTCCAAACAATTACCAACCACAAAGGCAGGTTCACAGAACTCAAATCTAAGGGGAAGAAAAAAAACAAAGAGGGGACACATTTCAAATTAGGATTTTTAAGAAAAGCCAGTCCAGATAAAGACAGAAAAATATTTTTCATATCTTCTTTTATGTAATGAAAAAAGATTAGCATACATACTTTACAAGTCTGTATTATGGCAATACTACTTTGAAAATAGTATTTTTTTGTCTGCCACATCAGGGACCACGAAAGAAAAATTCTTAAGCAGTTATAATTGTGTTATGCAAAACTGAAAAGGCCTCAAAGCATCACCAGACTTCCTAACTGCAAGCAAATAGATTTGTCTAAAGAATCCTTACAAGCCATACAGTAAAAGTGCCTTTAAAATATTACATTTATCAACAATGTGTGATATCCAGGCTGTTGAATAAATATTGAAACAGTTCACTTCCTAATAGCCCCCCTCCTTTTTTAAAAAAACTAGGCTTTTAAAACACTCATTTTTCTCTACCTACCTATTTTCCACCTTGAGCTCAATCCACTTTTCCCCAAAAAGGAATTTAATGGAAAAGTCTGTCATTTTTTGACCACACACAAAGCAAGGGAAAAAAAAAGATTTATTATCTCAGAAGCATCTGTTCTAATTTTCATCAGCAAATCAAAGTTATACAACTGTTTTTAAGTGGACCTAAGTTTACAACAGAAGTTGCAAGGACTGTAAGTACTCTTTGTCATTGCATAAAATAGCGAAGGAAAGATGTACAGGATAAAGCTATATTGCCAAAGCTGCATATATTCTCCATTACACTGATATTTTCTGACATTTTTCAAATCCCTGCAGCACCTTAGTGCTTCAGCTGTTAACGCCATAATGTAATTTATCTTCTTGTAAAAAAATTCCTTCAGCAAATAACTTTACGTTTTCCCCAAGCACTTCAAAATTAAGAAGAGAGGTTACACAGTTGCTCATAGAAAGGATTTACGGTTTTCATTGAAAAAAATATTAAGTAAAACCTAACACCTCGTTGTTGCATGAAATAGTTCATAAACTTCATCTGGCAGTATTAAAATCCAATGCATCTCAAACTTCATCCAGAAGGAATACGAAGACGTTTTTAGAAAAATTCAAATACATGCAGCCATTTCATGAACTTTAGAGCTGACTGTCATTGGAAAATAATTTTTTTTTACTTGGCTTGCAGTAGCAAATCCCAATACAACACATGACAACATTCAAATCAGTATTTCTCCAGTTACAGCAAAGCCTGGCAGCTTTCACTGCTTAGGGATGCTGCCTATAAGGCTTGGCTGACTTTTGTATCTACAGCACTGCCATCAACAAATCAGAATTCTATTAAACTGAAGTTTTTGCTTGAAGTATATTCCGCCCCCTCCCTACCTCCCCCCCCGCCCCGATGGGATGCTTGATCTTGAAAATAATACAATGCTTTCTTCGACTAGTCACAGACAGACCCCAGGATCCTTTACTAACTACTGCATAGCCCTCTCATGTGCTATATGTGGCCAACAGTCCATAATGATGTTTCCTCATCCAAATCCAAAAGAAAAAGTGAAAATACAAACAACACTGGTAGATTAAAAAGCAAAAAGGAAGAGGGAGGGCGAGTGGGGAACAACTGCCTTGTTGCACACAAGCTAGCCCAGCCTGAACTGTGGTTGAAATAACCTCAGATTAACACAGAAAGATCTAAAATACATTAGGCAAAGTTAAATACTGGGAAGAAAATGAAACCCAAGGCACTGATCACTTTGCTGAAGAAGCGATCTCATTTCATAAGCGCTTGGACGATCATGTATTTTTCTACATTCAGTGAAGGTCAATCAGGCAGTTCATGCTATAGTTTTAACTTCAGGTTGCCTACAGTTTAAGTCGATCATCACCACACCTATTTAACTTGAAAGTTTGAAACTTTGTGGGCTTCAAAAGTACAAGAGGAAGGGGGGGCAATGAGAGAGACAGAATATGGTACTTTCCTAAAATGCAGTTTTAAATCTTGAGACAGTCCCTGGTTAGTTTTAGAAAAATGAAGACAGCCTGCCTGCCTAATCTGGCAACTTTCAGAACTTCTTCTGATCTTCTCAGAATGCTCCTCTAAAAGCTGGCAAGCTTACTACCAGACACTCCTAAACTGCTTCCCCTACTAGAAACCACCCATGTTTCTAGACCCATGTTACTAGAAACCAACCATGGCTCATGAGGCCACTGGCCACTGGCCTCTTAAAACAAGCAGGAACACCAAACTCTCCAAGGAAGCAAAAATACAAGACAAAACAAAAACCCATAAAACATTCCCCAGACACAAAATACTCTATAGATGAGCTGTGGTCTTACAAATATAGTAACCCCTACTAGAAACCACCCATGTTTCTAGACCCATGTTACTAGAAACCAACCATGGCTCATGAGGCCACTGGTCACACCCTCTTAAAACAAGCAGGAACACCAAACTCTCCAAGGAAGCAAAAATACAAGACAAAACAAAAACCCATAAAACATTCCCCAGACACAAAATACTCTATAGATGAGCTGTGGTCTTACAAATATAGTAAAAGCTGAAGCTCTCATTTAGCTCCACAGCTTGCAACCAGAAGGGCACAAAGTGCAAATGAAGACACAGAAGCAACTTCCTATTACACCTGTAAGAACAAGATGGGTTAAGCACTAGAGACCAACTGTGTCTACAGGCACTTTAAATTGGCTGGACTGTGTTCCCACGTTATTAGCACAGGTTTGTGGAGACACGAGGCTTATGACCAAAACAGCTAGTTATCTGTTACTCCATTTACTTCAAAAAATACCCTCTTCCCCCACATAGCTTCAGTTAGTTTCAACCCAATTTGTCAACAGCAGGAGTTTCCTGAAATATTAATCTTCCACAGCAAACCTAAACACTGTATGGAGTAGGGTACATGTAATTCCAGAAGACATCTCTTTAGTCCATGTCCGATGAAAAACAAGGGGGTCTACTCAGCTCACCTGGCCATGTAACAGTAACACCCAGCTGGCTTGCACTGGTATGCTAGCTGCCCACTTGAACATAGGCAGTTCAAGAATTGCTGTATGTAGCTTCCTGAAAGCTGTAGCTTACCCAGAAAGCTAAATAAAAGTAGGCAGAAGAAATGGGAGGAAAAGGTTACGAACTGTCTCTTGTCACGACAACACGTGAGTTCAAAAGCCAACCCTCTTCATTCGTGCATCCCACAGAACCAACTGCTTCATGTATTATGGTATGAGCAGTGACAAAACACTAGAAATAAAGGCATACAGAGTTCATATAGTAATTATGCACTTTTCAAACCTAGTTAAGTTGTACAAGGGTGAACCTTACTCCTCCACACTCCAAAGTAAAATAAATCTCACCAGTGATGCAACAAGAGTGTTTTCCCACTCCCTGAATCTTCAGCTGATTCCATTTTCACAAAACGACACATGCGCCTCTGAATCAGAAAGAACTGATAAATGCATGTACCATTTTCTTGTATTTTTCTAATCCAGTAATTTGATGACCTTCCAACAGACTAAAGTATAATTTTGAGAAATTGTCTTACTAACTTGCCCAAATAATTTTCAAAATAAGTAAAGTTAAGTTCACTTTTACTTAAGTATAAAAGACTCCATCATTTGATCAGGCAATGGTCTAAAACTTAAATACAAAGGTTCTGCAAATACAAAGGAATAAGCCATTTTAAGAATACCTACCAACAGCATCACAAGCTTGTCAGTCTTACAGTATGAAAGTGGTATCAACCACATTGTTTTACAATAGAACTTGACCTAATCAATGCCAAATTCTAATTATCACTATATCCAGCAAGTTGATTTTATTCCTATTGCTTTGGGACATCAAAACGTATCAGATACTCAATCTACTCCTGTGTTACACTGAGCTATCTTTTTTTAGATTAATGACATTGCTGAAAATAAACGGTTTATTGCTTTAACATGCAGTATTGACAATCACATAAGCTACCTACCAAGATGAGGTAGTATTTCACTTAAATCCTTTTTTTTTTTATTTACCAAGTTGAAATGGAACTAAGAAATATCCAGTGTTCTTTACCATTTGTTCACCTCTACCAAATGGCCAGGGTGGCCTTACAGAGCATTATATCAGTAACATGAAAAAACCTCTTATTTCATACATCAGACGCCAAAAAAGGCTGTAACAATCTGGAGAAGTTTTAATCACGTTAGGTTCTTCAGTTGAATCTCATATCTTGATTACAAGAGAACCAACAGCCAAAAGAACAGAAATTAAGAGTTCCCATTATTGATAACACAGCAACAGAAAATTTCTGTTTAAATGAGCACTTGCCATAGGATAAATTTAAGCACACACAGATAATTTTTAGCAATGGCCCAAGGTAATCAAGCAGTTTCAAGCACATAAAACGTCTGTTGACCTGATTCTGCCCTTCCATCTTTTGCATTTTTGTAATCTATCCCCCAAGGATGGGTGTTTCAAGTTCACCGTCAACACAGCCAGAGTACTTTTCTTCCAGCTGAACGTAAAAAATTTGCTGTAGAATTTAAAGTGCATTTCTGTCTTTGCTGCAGCAACTTAAGAAAATTATCAAGTAATAGATGGTTACTGCCTATGTTCCTTTAAGTAAGATTCCCCATAGATATCAACACAATGAAGTATTACTACTGTAATAAAATGAACATCCATTCAAAAAAACATTTATAGCAAAGAACTAGGATTAAAGTTTGCTGCTCTTGTATCCATATCCACCAATCTAGTATTTGTGTGATAACAAGATACTAATAAAAAAATAAAAGCGCATAGTACAATAACCTACTCTAATAGCAAGGGTGTTTTTACAATGGGATTCATTGGTTGGTCCTACCATAACACCCACCCACAGAACCTACCCTTTAATTACTTCCAACTCTGAAGATGTACAGTATGCTTCTTGAGCTAAGCTCTTCTATCTATACAACCGTCATGAATGCAGGATGTTATCTTGATGTCTCTTGAAGATGAAACTAGCTGCAAGTAAGCATGAATTGTCTTTTTTTTAAAGTGGTATACATGACTCTCTAAAAAGGAACAAGTTCAATAAAATTTGAGAGAAAAATCAAGTAATTTGAAGGAAAAAAAAACTTTCAACATCCACAGGCTTGCATTTGAAGTAAACAGTAAAATATGTAACAAGATGCTTTAAAAAAAAAGCAATACTGAGGAACCACCTAAACTACTTACACCTGCCTTCTGCCAAGAGAAAAATTAATTAGTTCTTAAAACCAGCACCACTCCAGCTACGTCTTACTCCTCTCAACTACTACATTCATAGCAGGATATCATCTAACAGTACACTTCTGCCTATCCCTATATTTACTAACCACACTCATATCTCAGCTTGCAGCTCACAGCCCTTACAGAAAGAAAACCCATTTCAGTATGGATTTAGTATACTGTTTTCCCATCCACACCCATTTTCTTTAGTCAGTCAACTCAAATCCTCCAAAAAGTCTGAAATCTCATTCAGTACCATCAAGCTGCTCCATGTAATTCCCCTCTAACAGGAAATTTATTTAAATTTATTTAAATTGAG